ACTGCGGCTTCGGCACAGCCTCTGCTGCAAGCAGCTTTTGCTGGTGCTGCAGCAGCGCTGCTGAAGCAGCTGCCCTCTCTCCACTGACGTAAGCGTCAGCATCTGAGCTGCCGGTAGTCTCACAGCTGCCTGCTGACGCAGCGCCAGCAGCAACTGCAGCTGGGAGAGGCGAGCCCGTGCAAAGAAGCAGGAGGAAGCACGATGGCCACGCGGCGAGATTCATCGGCATGGACTTGTGAGAGTTCTGCCAGGTGGCAGCAATTGTAAGGTATAAGGTAGCTTGGGACTAATGGCTACGGTCACCGCTTCAAGATGGTACATACTCTTCCGTTTGTCAGAAAGGAATCAACACAGTGAGATCAACTCTGCAGGAACACGGGGCCGCGACCCAATGAGACTATTCAGGATGGAGGCCTCAGTGGGCTTGTGTGGTGATCATGAAGAGTTCGGGAACTTGCAGAACTCCCCCCCCCCGCCGCACAAGCTGAAGCGGAGAGAGTAGACTAGACCCGGTGAATTTGGACGTCTGAACTGTAAGCAAATGCCAATAGCTTCAAGCGCATTCTTGAGGAGGCCGCGCGATCTTCCTCTTGAGTAGCTTCACATCGCTCCACTTGGACGACGGCTAAGCCTGGCAGTGTCTCTCAAAATTCCGGGATTCCGTGCTTCTTCCTTGTTCGTCTTGCTCTCCCTCTCCGCTCCCACTCTCGCCCGAGGCTCCGACTCCCAGGCAGGCTGCAGGAAGCTGAAGCGCCAAAAGCCTCAACCATAGCCTAGACTGAGACTTACATCTGATATTTTGAAACGCCAGGTGCAAGCGAGAAATGTAGGTCAAGCGCCAGCCTATCTTATATCCACCAAAAGCGGCTGTGGTGTCCAACAAGTGCAACTCAGCGGTATCTGACATTTGGGTATCATCGTGTTAGGATCCGGCACCAAAAAAGGGATTCGGCTTTCCTTTTCATTTCCCGTTCAACCACCAAAAACAACTCGAGAAAAGAAACACCAGCTTCAGGTCCGGCCGTCGCTTCATGACTTCCTTCAGCTCGAAGAGGACCTGCGGATGGCAGCTGCTGAGTTAAGCCTGAATGTAGGCGTATATTTATATCAAATCAAAATACATTAATATTGAAAACGTTCGTCAAAAAAATATTATGAATTGCAAATAGCAAATATTGAATTCCTAAACATATTTGCGGATATATCAAAATGTATAAAATACAGTTGAAATATGTATTGCTTTTATGATCCAAATTAAATTATACAAATTTTAAGTTCGAATATGAGTTCAATCATTAATACAATAATGTTTCCATCTACTAGTACTATATCCTGTGTATTCAGGAGCCGTAGCATTGGAGCGGAGTAATGCAAAACGTGAATTCAACACTTGCCTCGACGGAGATGTCCCCAGGCTGAGGAGCTTGAAAGCTCTGTAGGGTTGATATCGTGCTTTTCTCGCTGTTGCGGTCATCAGCGGAGGCTGCCGCATCGCGGTTCCACGACTTGCGAGCGCCTGCCGCGACAAACTCCCGGCCATGTTTGCGGAAGTACTTGCCGAGCTCCTTGGCGTGGCTCTTGCTCTGCGAAGTCTGGCTCTGGAAGTGACTCTTCAAGAGGTGCGCGTTGCGACCGAGATGATCCGCGGCTGTGGCCAGTCCCGCCATGATGCCGTTGCCCCCAGCCTCTTCGGCCCTCTGGCTTGCTTCCAGGGTTAGCGCCTTCAGCTCGCTGCCTATCTGTTTCAAATCATCGCCAACCTCCACCGAAACCTGGAAGCTGAACTGACTGGGCACCTTAGAGAACTCTTAGACGGTCCAAAACAGAGTCAAAAAGAGTGTTCGAGGCCAGTGTTCCAGGCTGTGTCAAACATCTAAGCAGTGCGCAGCTGGGCTGGGATAGATGCCAAAGGAGATGGGCACGCCTGCGGCCAAGGGAACCCCGATGATTCCAGTGAGCTCCACCTCCGGCGTGATGTCCAGAGACGCTTGGAAAGCGAATCTGTTTGTGAAGGCTGGGTAGGTCTCGTAGAAATGGATCTGTGTTGTAATGGCTGTAGAGGCACCTCCTGCCGAAGTTGTGGCACCTTGAGATTTGCCAAAATCGCAGGTCGGGATTCGGGGAGGACGGGCTGCTGCTGTTGCCCTCCACTTGCAGCCGGCAGAGGATGCCCAAAGTTACTGCATAGCTGGTATCCGGAATGACGTGCGGCGAGGTCAGTTTCAATGGCCAACGTCCAGCCCAGTCCCCAATTGGTGTTTGGAGCCGCTGGCCCGGACCTGGAGCTCACATCCTCTTCACGACCCTCCCGGGCGCGCAGCACGTCGCGCCCAAGTTCCATGAGGCCGATGCCAGAGTCACTTGCAAAGTCAGCGACCAAGGATTTGATTTCGGAGACAGCTGTGCGTAAAGTCTGCACAGAGGGGATGGCTGCACGAGTACCGTCGAAAGCACTACCCTCCCACACCAGCGCCCCCATGAAGTACTCCAATCCTGTCACCACCGGTGAGGGCAGGCACCAGCCTGCAAACTTCAAGTCCCAGAAAGGCGTCGGGACGCCGAGCAGGCCTGTCTTGCTCACGCACGTCTTGAGCTTGTCCTTTGCCGACGTAAACTTGGCTTGCGGGTTGTTCGCATCGATGCTCGACATAGCCGAGAAGAGCTCGCAATCCGTCGGGGTCATGTACCAGAAACCAGAATTTGAGGACGAACACACGTCTCCGAGGTCGTACTTGGAGTAGGTGGGCAGGGCCCCGGAGATGAACTCAGACAGGCTGCTGGAGATTTGCACCGCCTTATCCTTCACCTTTGGGGCCAAGTCTTTGGCCTTGTTGTAGACATTGGTGACAAAAGGCATGCCACTGCCGATGAGGTTGGTGGCCAACACCTTGGCCTCTGCGAGGATCTTCTCCAGCATCAGATTCGTCGAAGATGACAGCCCACCTTTCGCCTTGCTCGAGCACGAGCCAGTGCTTGAACAGCCTGTGTCCGTGATCAGCTTCGCATAGGTCTTTTCGTTTGATCCCAAAGTGGCAGAAAGCTCATTGAAGCACTCGCCAAAGGAGCTGCCGACGTCACAGTCGTTGGCCACTGGACAGGACTTGGCGACGGAGCAACTCTTAGCTGTCTGGCCAGTTTTGCACTTCACTTTGAACTTGTTCTGCCAACGCCTGCGACGCCGGGTGTCGCAGCTCTGGAAAAAAATCCAGCCACACTTAGCCCCATCCGTGATGCTGTCAGACCCACAGATTGCAGCATTTGTGACCGTGCTCGTTCCACAAAGGGCTGCTGAGGTTACTGCGCAGATGCAGTAGTTGCAACTCCTCTTTTGCATTGCTGCCTCCGACCTGGTGCTGAGAAGTGCTCTGGTTTCTGGACTGCGGTGCACCTCCTCCGCGGCTTCATTGACTCCTTCCTTGGCTTCTTTCTCCTTGGCTTCTTGGCTTCCTTCACCAACGTCACGCTCCTCTTCACGGTTTCCTTCCTCGACTTCAGCCTCCATGTACTCATCCTCGGCTTTCTGTTCATCCTCGGCTTCATGGCTTCCTTCCTCGCCCTCATCAGGCACCTCCGCGAAATCTTCCTCTAGCAGGCCCGGCTGCTGCAACTGCGGCTTCGGCACAGCCTCTGCTGCAAGCAGCTTTTGCTGGTGCTGCAGCAGCGCTGCTGAAGCAGCTGCCCTCTCTCCACTGACGTAAGCGTCAGCATCTGAGCTGCCAGTAGTCTCACAGCTGCCTGCTGACGCAGCGCCAGCAGCAACTGCAGCTGGGAGAGGCGAGCCCGTGCAAAGAAGCAGGAGGAAGCACGATGGCCACGCGGCGAGATTCATCGGCATGGACTTGTGAGAGTTCTGCCAGGTGGCAGCAATTGTAAGGTATAAGGTAGCTTGGGACTAATGGCTACGGTCACCGCTTCAATGGTACATACTCTTCCGTCTGTCAGAAAGGAATCAATATAGTGAGATCAACTCTGCAGGAACACGGGGCCGCGACCCAATGAGACTATTCAGGATGGAGGCCTCAGTGGGCTTGTGTGGTGATCATGAAGAGTTCGGGAACTTGCAGAACTCCCCCCCCCCGCCGCACAAGCTGAAGCGGAGAGAGTAGACTAGACCCGGTGAATTTGGACGTCTGAACTGTAAGCAAATGCCAATAGCTTCAAGCGCATTCTTGAGGAGGCCGCGCGATCTTCCTCTTGAGTAGCTTCACATCGCTCCACTTGGACGACGGCTAAGCCTGGCAGTGTCTCTCAAAATTCCGGGATTCCGTGCTTCTTCCTTGTTCGTCTTGCTCTCCCTCTCCGCTCCCACTCTCGCCCGAGGCTCCGACTCCCAGGCAGGCTGCAGGAAGCTGAAGCGCCAAAAGCCTCAACCATAGCCTAGACTGAGACTTACATCTGATATTTTGAAACGCCAGGTGCAAGCGAGAAATGTAGGTCAAGCGCCAGCCTATCTTGTATGCACCAAAAGCGGCTGTGGTGTCCAACAAGTGCAACTCAGCGGTATCTGACATTTGGGTATCATCGTGTTAGGATCCGGTCCCAAAAAAGGGATTCGGCTTTCCTTTTCATTTCCCGTTCAACCACCAAAAACAACTCGAGAAAAGAAACACCAGCTTCAGGTCCGGCCGTCGCTTCATGACTTCCTTCAGCTCGAAGAGGACCTGCGGATGGCAGCTGCTGAGTTAAGCCTGAATGTAGGCGTATATTTATATCAAATCAAAATACATTAATATTGAAAACGTTCGTCAACAAAATATATTATGAATTGCAAATAGCTAATATTTAATTCCTAAACATATTTGCGGATATATCAAAATGTACAAAATACAGTTGAAATATGTATTGCTTTTATGATCCAAATTAAATTATACAAATTTTAAGTTAGAATATGAGTTCAATCATTAATACAATAATGTTTCCATCTACTAGTACTATATCCTGTGTATTCAGGAGCCGTAGCATTGGAGCGGAGTGATGCAAAACGTGAATTCAACACTTGCCTCGACGGAGATGTCCCCAGGCTGAGGAGCTTGAAAGCTCTGTAGGGTTGATATCGTGCTTTTCTCGCTGTTGCGGTCATCAGCGGAGGCTGCCGCATCGCGGTTCGAGCGCCTGCCGCGACAAACTCCCGGCCATGTTTGCGGAAGTACTTGCCGAGCTCCTTGGCGTGGCTCTTGCTCTGCGAAGTCTGGCTCTGGAAGTGACTCTTCAAGAGGTGCGCGTTGCGACCGAGATGATCCGCGGCTGTGGCCAGTCCCGCCATGATGCCGTTGCCCCCAGCCTCTTCGGCCTCTTCGGCCCTCTGGCTTGCTTCCAGGGTTAGCGCCTTCAGCTCGCTGCCTATCTGTTTCAAATCATCGCCAACCTCCACCGAAACCTGAAAGCTGAACTGACTGGGCACCTTAGACGGTCCAAAACAGAGTCAAAAAGAGTGTTCGAGGCCAGTGTTCCAGGCTGTGTCAAACATCTAAGCAGTGCGCAGCTGGGCTGGGATAGATGCCAAAGGAGATGGGCACGCCTGCGGCCAAGGGAACCCCGATGATTCCAGTGAGCTCCACCTCCGGCGTGATGTCCAGAGACGCTTGGAAAGCGAATCTGTTTGTGAAGGCTGGGTAGGTCTCGTAGAAATGGATCTGTGTTGTAATGGCTGTAGAGGCACCTCCTGCCGAAGTTGTGGCAACCGTTGAGATTTCCCAACTCGCAGGATCAGGTTCGGAGAGGACGCTCGAGATTGCCCTTGCAGCCGGAGATGATGCCCAAAGATACGAAAAGGTCTGGTAGTGCCCAGCATTGCGGCGACGGTCAGTTCAAACGCACGTCCAGCGCGCCCCCCCACCCAAGTTTCCCCATTGGACGTTGGACGCCGCAGCCGGACCTGGAGCTCACATCCTCTTCACGACCCTCCCGGGCGCGCAGCACGTCGCGCCCAAGTTCCATGAGGCCGATGCCAGAGTCACTTGCAAAGTCAGCGACCAAGGATTTGATTTCGGAGACGGCTGTGCGTAAAGTCTGCACAGAGGGGATGGCTGCACGAGTGCCGTCGAAAGCACTACCCTCCCACACCAGCGCCCCCATGAAGTACTCCAATCCTGTCACCACCGGTGAGGGCAGGCACCAGCCTGCAAACTTCAAGTCCCAGAAAGGCGTCGGCACGCCGAGCAGGCCTGTCTTGCTCACGCACGTCTTGAGCTTGTCCTTTGCCGACGTAAACTTGGCTTGCGGGTTGTTCGCATCGATGCTCGACATGGCCGAGAAGAGCTCGCAATCCGTCGGGGTCATGTACCAGAAACCAGAATTTGAGGACGAACACACGTCTCCCAGGTCGTACTTGGAGTAGGCGGGCAGGGCCCCGGAGATGAACTCAGACAGGCTGCTGGAGATCCGCACCGCCTTATCCTTCACCTTTGGGGCCAAGTCCTTGGCCTTGTTGTAGACATTGGTGACAAAAGGCATGC